ATTTTCTCGCAAAGAGTTAAGGTCTGTAATAAGAACAAACAAAATCTGACGATAATAGTTATTAATGTCATTTCTGATTTCATCAAATAAGCCTATGTTTTAAATCCCGGAAAACTTAAAACTTAAACTTACATGTAAGCTTATTGAAAATTAAGCAAACTTAACAAATGTTAAGGAGACATGTTGTAGTTTGGGCTTATCATCGCTTTCACTGCCTTCAAGAAATTCTCGGTGTTTTCAACAGTTGTACTGGCAATAAGAGCTCCAAAATTACCATGCAAGTGGCTGTCGAACATCACAATATTTGCTCCATGTGCAACAAAACAAATTGTCATATCGGTGATAATAAGAATTGCAGATAGATTAGCTTCTTGAGTTAAACGTTGGAGGTAAAATGCTGCTGATGACTGGGGTACATTTATATCTTCACTGGTTAATGTGATGTCAAACGAATCTTCCATTTGAATTTGTCCAAAGTTTTGTCTAAGATGTTGGACAGCGTCATCAACAGCAAAATTAATTGCTCTTCCCCCAGTTAAAGTGTCATGTGTGGAATTTCCCTGAATGATGCAGGACATCACAACAGCAGCCCACACAGGTGAAATTTGTGTTGGGGGTGGTAGGTGTCCTATGTTGGCATGATAACTTTTTGCCAAGTACAATGCAATGAAAGTGCAAGCGTTTGACCCCCTCCTGCCATTCATAGTAGCCTGCGAAACAGACTGTGGAAAAAAAAGGAATTTGCTGCCTGCACTGTTCACTGATGTGATGTTGATGTTTTGATTTGCTTGTTGCGCTTGGTGATTGACTCCTTGGTCTTGGCAGTGTGGCTGCTGTGGATGTTGCTCTTGACATTCTTGTTGTTGTCCTTGTACTCTTAAACTTGGAGGTTGTGGGACAGTGACATTAGCTAAAGCATGATCTACAAACTGTTCCCATTCATCGGATTCATAGAAAATAGGTTGTCTTGAGTTGTTAGGAGTTAATTCTGTGTCAGGCTCTTCAGAGGATAAGTTGGATGTTTCTGCATTGGTAGTTGATGACGACGATTTAGTAGGTGTTAGTAAACTGAGATTAAAAGTATCAGCCAGCATGGCTACTTTCTTTAACAGAGGCTTAGTACAGATTGGACAGTTAGAGTTATTTCGAAGGTAACATTCTTGGTGGAAAGTGTGGCAGCAAGCTAGTCTTACAAATTGGTCAGTGTCTTGAGTTACAGCACAGTTGCTGTAGTCGCATAAAATGGCTGGATTTGGATACTGTGGGTTGCTATCCAGATGTTTGTACGAAAGAGGAAGAGACTTTGTATCAACAATTTCATTGAATGTTTGAAGATGGAATTTTTGTCTTTTGTTTTGACTTTGACTGGAAGGGTTGTCTCTAACCTGTGTAACAAAAATAATGTTTCTGTCAAACACAGAAGATAGTCTTAAGGAATATTAAGAATAAGACAGTGATAGTCAAGCTTTAATGATTCCTCCATTAATCTTCATTAATCTTCATCTTAGGTTTGCCATGTTTTTTTTTAGCTGAAGGATAAAATATGAACTGTTAATAATAACTTTTTCACTTCTTATATTTTGTAATATTTAACAATTATTCTTTGAAATCGAGGTGAATAGTGGCAAAATATTCCCAAAGCCACTATTCACCGAGATTGAAAAGAATCATTGTTTTAGTATATACACACGAAGTGATCTCAACAAAATCAGAGAGGAAACCATTAAAAAGTACAATTTGATTGACAGATCAAATCAGGCGTAAGTTTAAAAACAGATGTTTGCAGAATTTTCAAACATGGCAATTCACAAGTTTATCATTTCGCAAACAACAGCGTAATGGCTTAAATCGAACTGCTAAAAGTTTGAACTGTTTCCTTACCTGAGAGGAAAAGTGGAGCTTTGTTTTTTTCTGTTCACTCGCCAAGTTTATAGCCAAAAGGGCTTGTTGTGTCGTTCTTCGCATGAAGTGCTGACAAAAATGGCCGGCTCGGTTGCTCGAGGTAAGACGTCGTCTTCCTGTATCATTCTTTTTCCCGTTTACTTGAAACGTAGAATTTCTGCAAACATTTCCTTTTAAATTTGTTTGTCATAAATAAACTTCGATTTTTGAGCCAAAATTTTCTTCTTAGAAAACGCTGAGTTCACGAAACGGCTTCTTCTATGCGAATACACAGGAGTTGTAAACAATCCATCGAGCACAAAACTGAGCTACAGTAAATTGAAAAACGCCGTATTGAATCCTTCTTCCGTCTTTTCTTGCCTTTAATAAAGTCAGCGCTAGGATTTTGTCGACTTTTAAAAGATTTTTCTCTAAAAAAAGGGTAAAAACACCGAGCTCACACATTATCCACTCGCTAGGAGGTGAATATTGTTGAATAGTCCGAGATAGCGAACCAATCAGATTGCTTAAATCACCAAGATCACTGAGTGTGTATATACTAATGAGAGTTAGCCTTGTTAGTTTGCTGCTTCCTAAAGCTGAGCTTTCATCATCCATTTTCTTCACCTGTGTGCTTGACAGTGTTGGCTTAGGTATTGATGAGGTGACATTTATGCGGCTTATCCGTTTAAATCTAAATAGCTTTGCTTTCATCTATTCAATTCAAGCAAGAAGAAGATTTATGTGTAGAGTTACAAAATGATGCAGATACTTACCTTCTTAGACTTTCCAATATTTTGAGCAACATCCTGGAATAATGTCAAAAGCACCTCAGCAACTTTGCCTGTATAAGTTTTAGAAGTTCACATTAAGTGAGGCAAAACAAGACAATACATGTCTATGGTCATGCAATTTTTTTTTCAGAATAAATTTGTGGCCATGGTCTAGATTGACAGCAACCTGTATCTTTGTGTTTTTGTTTTTGTGGCGTTTAAAAAAGAACTAAAGTATGCGACTCATACACTGTAAAATATCTGCATGTTACTGTGTATCTGCCAAAATCATTGGTCAAGAGTTTCTACGAGAGAGTAAGACTATGGGAATTTTTAAATGAAGCTCCATTAATATCTGCAAAATTGATTTTCAAGAGGCAACACTAGAATAAACAAACAGCGTTAAATATCTTAAATAATGTTACGGCAAAAACAATGAGGAAACAATTTTCATTGTCACTGCCTGCATTAAGATCTAAAACTTTCACTGTCAATGTCATTCTTAAGGTAAAGTTCAAAGTTGGGTTAATGGGTGATTGGTTTTTCTTCAGCATTAAATGCCACTAAAGTGTTCAGGTTATCAAACAATATTAAATATGTCATTCTAAAAATTGTTGTAGTATTTGTAAATTTTCTGTCATTTAATATGAATAGTAAGGCACCCTGATTCCAGTGGTTTGGCTGTTTTTAAAACATTACTGTGTAGCCTACATTTCTGTATGCTTTCAATTTATTTTATTTTAGAAATGGATTTGTACTTAATAAAAGTTATCAGGTATTTACATATTCAGTTGCACCTTAACTGACTGTTCTATTTTTTGCTTTAACAAGCTTGGATACTGCTGCCGTAAGTTGATGTTGTGCCTATCAATTGATCTTGGTGCTACTGAAAAGCCAAAGATAGGGCCATTGTTCAAGC